AAAATGATTGGGGTACATCAGTGAGAAACAGCAATTTAAACTTGTGGGAACTGAGTGCTTTGATCTTCAACTCTCACCTTAGCTATTGAGTTTTTAAATATAGTTGGATGAATTGTTGACATTTCTATATTAATTTCTACAATATGTGAATGATATTCCAGCGTCTTCCACTGATGGTGGTGCTAAAGTTTCTCTGACATATTTGGGGGCTCCCTTATTGAGAAATGAGTGAGAGAGAGAGGAAGTTCAAACTATATTTTAACACTGTTTCTTAATTGCGGATGTGATCAAGAATATAGCGACTTATGGAGTAAGTTGCTATTCCATTCCCTGTGGAGTAAAATTTGCGGTGTTCCTTGAAGATGTTAAAAGAATGTCATCAGGTGGCGTCCTCTCAGGGTTCTCATCCTGCCATATTGTAAAGTCAAGCCTAGAACCCCTACCCAATTGCTGAAATATAATTTTTTTGTGAAGAAGAATGTGAAATTTAGCCCTTCATGGCAAATGAACAAGTATTACATCTTTTAAATTCTGGAGATTCATATAGAGCAAAATTGTTTTCACAGTGCTGGGACCTGAGAGGAGTGCAAGTCACTTACCTTGAGGCGCAACCTGCTTAAATAAGTTAAGGAATGCTTTAGGCACAACACAATTGTGGCGTATGTGGAGAATGCTCACTCTCTAGTGCTGTATGTATCATAGCTGGTTTCAATTCATGATGCACTTGACTGCAAATTTTGAATTATTAACTTGCTAATGGATCGAATACTGTACTAGAAATATGCAACATTTTCTCTATTTATCCTTTATCAAAATCATCCATCTATTTTTTAGAAATCTAAAACCATTTCCTTTTTGTCTGATATGAAGGATAAAATAAGCACAGAAAATAACGCTTGAGCAGAGATTGGACTGTTTATAATAATATAATACTAATCCTTAACATTTGATATGGTGTCTTATCAAGTTGTTGAGATGTCTCAAAGCGCTTCACAGAATAGTGAATTTATTGTATATTTTGTGGCTGAAACGCGACAGCCAATTGGCAGCAGTGTTCTACAAACAGTTGTAGATTGAGTGATCAAATTATTATAATTTAACAATATAATATACAATTATATCGTGCCTATCATGTTGGGAAGATGTCTGAGAGTGCTTCATAGTGCTAGACGGGTAGCCGAGCTGGAGGTGGGAGCTGAGGACGATGGGGAGGGGAAAATTGACTGAAAATATGTTCGAAGAGGTACATTTTGAGATGTGCCATGAAAGGGAGCGAATTGGATGGACTCCAGGATGGAATTCCAGAGAGACTCAGGATGGAATTCTAGACAGGTTTTGCTTATTTTGCTAATATTGCAACAAAATGCCATCATATCATATATTGTCTACAAAACAAATGTAGACAATTTTTTTGCATCAGCCAAAGAAATTCCTGAGACTTGACTGACCAAAAATAGAAACGAGAAACAAAGTTGGAAGTTACAAACATAAATACAATTGCAGGGTTGCGGGCATCATGAGAATATCCTATTGTACAGGAGGGAGGATTTAGCAGCTGATCTACAGAGGTCTTTGCCAGTCCTCCACTGACTACAATGGCCCAGTATTTTTCCTTGCTCCAGGGAGGTGGGCAGCAATGAGATGAAGCTGTGGACCCAGGTGCTGCATAATTTCAACGGTAAAGATATGTATTGATGTATTAGTGTTGATTAAAGAATATTAGCACTGCAGGGGATACACATTTACCGTTCACACTCTATCCTTTCATATGAAACATGAACACATATTTTAATAAAATTGACTGGCTAGGTCTGATAACATGTTTCTAAATATTTCAGTGAATTTGTTGCAGATTATTTTATTGTGTTCCAAATATTTTCCCTTGACACATTCAAAGAGGATTTCTATTCCAGGGATAAATTGTAGGAATGGAATGCGCTTTCTCTTCCTGGAGGGATGCTTCCTGCTTACCTAATTATGGAAAGTAGGTAAGCACTGGTTGGCAGCAATTAAGGCTTGGTAACCCCTTGGTAATATCATTAGGACTTGGAAGGGCAGATTAGTCACTGGGGGCAGGGAATCCTCCCACTCAGCTCCTGTTAACCCTGCAAGCCAAAGCCCTATCAGGTAGGGTGGTTCTATCTGGACAAGCAGCAGGAAAGCTTTTCAGACAGTACTAGCAAAGGGAAGCTCTGCAGTTTTATATGGTTAGACTCCAACAGTGTCCCAAGAATGTGTCAAGGGAAAATAATAATAATAATCCTTGCATTTTAGAACACAATAAAATAATCTGCAACATATTCATTGAAATATTTATAAACAATTCTGTGCACGTTATCAGACCTAGACAGTCAATCTTATTAAGATATGCGTTCATGTTTCATAACCATTCCAGTGACCTCTTTTTAGATTGAAATCCTGGCTGGGTTGTTACCATTTATTATTGTTGCTGGGTTTTGGCACTTGTTAAAAATGAAAAACAAAAACTCTCTTGATGCGATTTATGACACCAACATGCTGTTTTTGCTAATCCAAGCAACACCATTGAAAAGTGATCAAGTCAGTCGTTAGGGATCATTGGACTTTTGTGCATCAGCACAATCAGACAATAAATGTTCTATGTGATCAGTGAGGTATAAAAAATGCATTGCAACACTGGGCACTATAAAGGTGTACAACCCTTGCTCAGTTTTACATAATGGTTGTTAGGTAGGAGGAGCTGTGCTCATGGGCTTACTGTAAATACTAAGTTGTTGAGTAAATAAAGCACTGTTTTGCATCACCCACCATCTGTTTTATCCCTCTCCCACCACCCCTTTTAGTCTTTCAGAGGCCAATTGCAGTATTTTAAAAAAGGGTGGGAAGCATTAATTGTGATTTCCATTATTTTTACAATATTCCTAAAACATCCAATTGTGATTTCCGAAACTACCTTTGTGCAAAATAAAACCAAGAGCAAATGGCCTGACCGTTTCCCCACATTGTTCCTTTCCCCAAACCCGTCCATTTATTTTGAAAATATGACTGTTGCCCAGAGTCTTTTTTTCTTCTCTCTGTTGATATTTCTTGAATGGGTATCAATCATCCTAAAATCTGTGGAGTTCCCCAAACACCAGCATAATTCACAGTGTTGTTTACACAGTTCTGCCAGCCGTAAATAGACTCTGTTTATGTCCTGCTCAAAATAATGGCACTAGAAAAAGATAGATATTTTCGTCGTTTTGCACGGGTTGGACCCAACTACTGTATCCCAAAGAAACTCTGAAAGGAATTTCAGATATTATTTAATGATCATCATCCTAATTGTGGAGTCCTGTAGCTCAGTGGTTAGAGCACTCACTTTGCAAGTGAGAGACCTGAGTTCAATTCCAGGCAGGGCGAAACCTTGGGCAAGTTTCCTTACTCCACACAGAGCCTAATAATAATCCCTCCAAAACAAAAACAATAATAAATTGGTCATTTTCAATCTATGACTGTTTGTGGGACACTGCTGTGCGCAATTGGCTGCCGCGTTCGCCCACAAATATACAGTCAATTCACTTTACAGTATATTCTGTGAAGCGCTTTGAGACGTCTGGAAGACGTGAAAAGCGCTATATCAAATGCAAGGATTATTATTATTATTATTACTCTCGAAATTATGTCACACATTTTAATTGACACAGGTGCCTTATGGAATTTCTACCCCATAGAGGGGCAACACAAACTCATGTCAAGTTGCAATGTGGATTTTTGTGATGATTTCAGAGAAATTCTGCAGAATCTGCATCCATATGAATTAGTTCCAATTAAATGAGAATATACGAATGTGAATGTTGTAAGTGTACATTGGACACATCTTTCTGGTATAATAAAACGATCAGCATTTATGGGAGTCACAACAGAGTGACTTAATATATCATGGTTAAAACCTTGTTGTATGTGTGTGAGCCGAGGTTAACTATTAAACCATGAGGATTGTAACTAAAATTATTTATGAAAGAATGAAAACAGGGATTGGGGGGGGGGGGCTATTACTATCATTTAACACATGCAAGTGTTTCAACAACAACAACAACTTGCATTTATATAGCACCCTTCACACAGGGTAATGTCCTAGAGTGCTTCATCACTCTACATCATATGATGGTGGAATAATGGTTGCGAGTTATTTTTATAGTGAGGAATTAACTAGGTCAGCAATGTGTGTACTTGTGTATGGTAAACCTTTGCAATACCCTCCAAGTACTGAACTCGCCTCTCAGTTTGACTTGGTTGTTAGATACGTCAGTCCAGAGATGTTCTCACTATATATTTGCAAGGCCTAACTGATGGGCAAGTTTGGATTAATTGATTTTATGGCATTCTACCATAAACTGAAAATTTAAACTGGTTCTTGAACCAGGTCCAATGCCTTTAATATCACCACTAATCTCCAATTGGTACACTGGTCTAGCAATCGCCCACATGAGAGTAAACTAATCACTCGCACCTGTTTGGACTATGTACTGCCAAACCTAACAGTGGGAATGTATGCATGAATTCATTTCATTTGCATGAATGCATTATAACTATGGTGGTAACTGAATATATTATTGATGGATATATCAACAGTATTGAAAGAATGTTTCTAAATAAATAATTTAAAATAGTTTATTCACATCTATCCAGAATTTTATAACAACAACTTGCATTTATATAAAACTTTCCATGGTTTTGGTGGGGTCTTCGAGTGCTTAACAATGGTAGTTTGATGCTGAAATGGGGAGAAAGCGAAGGTGACCTTAGACACAGTCGAAGAGGAAAGTCTTCAGGTAAGAGGTGGCAATGTGGAGGGATTGAGGCAGGGAGTTCCATTGGTTTAGGGCACAGTGGCTGAAAACACAGCAACTGCTTTATAAATCCAACAATTAGAAAGATTACAACATTTGTCAGCATTTTGATGTACAGTTCTTTTGAATCCTGCCTATCCTGAATAGTTTGCAGAAACAAGGACATATAGTATTGTTTTTATCTTTCAGGTGCTAAATCCAAAAAAGAAAGAAAAAAAGAAAAAATACATTAATTCTGGAACAGTAAGTATTTTCTTGGATGTTGTAACTGTTTTAATTTAAATGTTTGCAGGAATGATAGTACTATTTAGTGAATCAGTTTATTTGTCTGTTTATGTCATTTTGTTTTTAACGTTGTCTTAATAATTTCTGCAACTTTACAATTATGATTTTATATTTTCATATTTTAGTTCACAATATTTGTTGACTCATGCTGCAGGTAAAGTGGGGATACAGTTCATGTGTTACTGCATGTGTGTGGGAAATTTCTACCTTGTGTGCACTTTATGTGAATTAAAGAAAATTCCCTCCCTTGACTGCATTTCTTTTTAATTTGGCATTTTTTTTTAGTACTTTCTGGCATTGTGATTTATTTTGACATGCAATAGAATTCACTTAGATCAATTTCAATTTATTCATCTATCATGATTTTATCCTCTGCATATATGCCCCATTTATACTGCAAAGTTTCACAGAAGTAGTAATGCACTTGTGTTTTCCATGCAATCAGTTAATCAAATGTGCCCACTGAGAACTCACTTCATATATATTTTCACCCATCCAATGGAACCAATTTTAAAAAATATATTTTTTACGAGCACAATGGTTCTGGCTCAGGCAGCCTAGGGTGGAAGTGTTGATCTGAATCAGGCTCATTTTTAGATGGAAGCCAAATTGAATCTTTGTCTGGTTCATAGAATTTTTTTTCTCTGTATGTTCATATACTTTTTAAATCAGAGTTTTAATTTCAGCTTGAATGGTTTAAAAAAAATATAGCTGTCAGAGGCCTATTTTTATACTTTAATTGTTTTTATGTTCATTGTAAAATTGTGGTGATTTCATCACCCCTCCCCCCCCACCCCCAAAGTAACATGTCCGATGTGCAAAATATTCTCAGATTGTAGATTGCAGTATGGGGCCTATAATATGAGGATCACTAAAACATTGCCAACTGTTCCTTGTTGGGGAACCCCATTTTAAAAAAAAGTAACAAAAGTCATCACTATTTTAACAATGGTGTATGATTCATTCACCTATTTGTTGTAGTTATTTATCCGATCTTTTCCATTTGGCAAATATTACCCGTACATTCCAATAAAACTAAATTTATGGTAGATATTATCATACTTAAAATCCCCAAACTAAATTTGTACAGAAATAAATTCTGTTCTTTATTCAACTATTTGTGTTAACATTCAGCTATGAATTCAAGTTCAGTCAGCTTTACACTATGTAGTCTGTTAAAATAGCAAGACGGCCCATGCCTCTTCATTATCTGTGTTTAGTTCAGGGAAAGAAGAAAATAACATTGACCAATAGAGTTAAAAGAGTTAGCTAATTTGGCACTCATTGGTTATTGCTCTCTTCTTGTTACAAAAGTATGTAAAATGCTCTCTGTATCATGCTACTTGGTGTAATGCACCTTTTAAATGGTTCATAAAAACTAAAATACGGAAATGGGCTGGTATGCTTGTAATATACCTATAACATTCTGATGAACCTGTGGTTCCATTTGTTATTTTTCTAGGTAACATTGCTTTCCTTTGCAGTTGAAACTGAGAGCACTTTTCTTGACTTTATCAAAGGAGGGTGAGTAGTTCAACCCGATGCTGAACTAAGTGTACTGCAGTATTTTAATAATACAATTTGCATTTTGTTTACGACATGTCACTAAGTTCAGTTTAGTGTTTTTTCTTCCACATGATTGTAGTCTAGTTTTTAAAAGATCAAACTTTAGTATAGATTAAAAGTATGAGACAATGTTTCTCACTCAGTCTAAAAGAACAACACAAATGTATCTTCAGATTGCTTGCAAGTCTTATTATATTTCCTTGGCTTCCCTGTAGCCACAAAGCCATGCTGTCATTGTGTAGGGAGAGTTGACTCTTGCAACAATAAGCAATAACAACATCTTGCATTCATATGCAAGCGTTTTGCCCACAAAATATACAGTCAATTCACTTTACAGTATATTCTGTGAAGTGCTTTGAGACGTCTTGAAGACGTGATAAGACATTGTATTAAATGCAAGGATTATTATTATATGTTGCCCTTCACTCGGGCTAACGTGTAACATTGGCGCAGCGTGATGCCGAGCCTGGGAGTGGAGGGAGGTGACTAGAGGCTTGGTCGAAGAGGAATGTTTTCAGGTGTGATCTGAAGACAGACAAGGGAGGTGGCAAAGTGGGGAGATTATTGAGTCAGAGAGTTCCATAGTTTCAAGACAAAATGGCTGAAACTATGTCTGCAGTGTTGGAACGGAGAGGACGAGGGACGTGCAGGAGGCCTGAGTCAGGTGAGTGCTGACAGTGGAGTGGGGTGTAAGCAGATTGGAGAGGTAGGAACGTGCCAGAGCCTAAAGTGATTTGTAAACTTGTGGAGATCTTGAAATCGATCTGTTCTGCAAGAGGGAGTCCGTGGTATCGGGCAAGGCTTGGGGTGATGGAGGTATGGAGTTTGGTGCGATTGAGGATATGGGCAGCAGAGTTTTGAATTGATGAATTTTATGAATGGTGCATCTGGGGAGATGCACCATTCATAAAACAGTAAAGTCGGAGACCATGTAGCAGAGGGGGAGGAAAGCAGTCTGGTCAGGAACTGGATGTGGGGAAGGAAGGAGAGCTGGGGATAGAACCTGACGCCTAAGTTACATGCAGGTTCAATAAGTCTGAGAGATAGGTTGGAGAAGTTTAGAAGCTCTGAGCCACAGCTGAAAAGACTTTGATGGGAGCCAAGAAGTATGGCATTGCAGTAAATTCTCTGATTTTGTCCCAAGTTAAAGGATCAAACTGCTTATTACTTTGCAGTAGCTGAGAATTGTTGTTAGGCCAATATAAAAGATTTAGTTTTTTGTTTCACACAATTTGCAGTGTATTATAAGGCACCTTCTTGAGAAAAATACTTCCTAGATTCTTTCTCATATAAAACTGACAGCTTACCTTTAAATATAAACCCAAAGTTCAATTTCACACCAATGACATTTCCAAAGTATTATCCTTCATGTGTATGTTCAGTATCGCATGGCATTATTCCAAAAGACAAGTGAGTTTCTCACGGCTTCACCAGTGTTCCGGCTAACAATTCACCAGTTAAAATTAGATATTTATTTCAAGGCTGCTTGTGGGACATTTTTATGCATAAATTGGCTGCCGCAATCGCCTACAAAATACACATGTACTACAGTTCATAGTAACATGATAAGAAGCTGTATGAAATACACAGATGATTTATTATATATGATAATTATTGAGCTTTTGACTGATGACTTATGGATAAGTGTGGCTTCGTGGCTTCTTGAGCTGTAGAGACCAAAGCGTTCCCAGGTTCAACCCGGACTGTCTCGTGCAGAGTTCCTCAGGGCTCTATCCTTGGTCCCCTCCTCTTCAATATCTATATGCTCCCTCTTGTTGACATCATCCGCAGACATGGGGTCAACTTCCACATGTATGCGGATGTCACCCAATTCTATCTCTCTGCCTCCACCCTTGACTCCAGGACCACTGCTGTGCTGACAGAATATCAGACATCAAGTCCTGGATGAGAGCTAACTTTCTTCAGTTGAACGTCAACAAGACCGAGGTTCTCCTGATTGGCTCCCGTCAGTGTCGCTTTACATCAGGCGCTGACAGCATCACCATCCATGGTTGCACACTCCACCTGTGCAATCCAGTCTGGATCCTTGGGGTTTTGTTTGACCCTCAACTATCCTTTCTAAATGTAATTTTGTTGTTGTTGTTGACCTCCTAACCACCTACCACACAGTTCATTCCCTCTGCTCAGTGGACTCCAGCGTGCTTCACGTCCCCCGCCTTGCTTGCCCAACTATCGGCGCGTGGGCCTTCCGCCACTCTGCACCCTGCCCTCTCCCTCCCTTGCCGCCTTCAAGACCCACTTCAAGACCCTCCTCTTCAACCATGCTTTCGACCTCCCTGCTTCCCCCCCTGCCCTCCACCCCCCCACCCAGACCCTCAGCTTGGGTCCGTAACTCTGTCTGTCCAGTGCCTTGGGACGTCCTCCCGATATGAAAGGCGCAATACAAATGTCATTTTGTTGTTGTTGATATGTGGCAAATTAGTTTAATTCATCCAGGGAGAGCTGCAAACGTTACTTTAAACATGTTGTAGCTTCCATTGCAGAGTTGCTGGTCTCATTTTAAATGCATTTTCCCAATGAAAAATTAGAGATGACCAAATAAGTAGAATTATTTCAGAATAGAATGTGTTTTTAAAAGTATAGTATAGTGCAAATTGACAAATATCCTGCCAAGTCCTTTATAATATATTATTTACAATATCAGATGTTATGTATGACACATGTATGCAGATGACACCCAACTCTTACCTCTCCCTTGACGCCAGGACCACTGTTGTCCTGACAGAATGTCTGTCAGACATGAAGTCCTGGATGAGAGCTAACTTTCTCCTGTTGAACGTCAGCAAGACCAAAGCTCTCCTGATTTTCTCCCGTCAGTGCCTCCATACCTCAGGATGCATCCATGGATGCACACTCCACCTCACTGAGCCTGTCCGAAACCTTGGCATCTTGTTTGATCCGCAACTGTCCTTTCTACCCCACATCTGTGCCATGATCCATGACCCAACATCACCCAGCTTCACCACTTCCACTCCCCTCAGGCCGCCGAAACCCTCATTCATGCATTTGTCACTTCTAGGCTTGACTACACCAGCAACCTGCTTGTCGGCCTTCCCAACTCTTCCCTCCACAAGCTGCAGATCATTCAGAACTCTGCAGCTCGTGTCCTCTTCCATACCAGACTCCTTGACCCCACCACTCCCACCCTCGCCCGGTTCCACTGGCTCCCCATCCCCCAGAGGATAAAATTCAAAATCCTCATCCTCTCCTTCAAATATCCTCCACAGCCTTGCTTCTTCCTACCTCTGGGTCCTGCTAACCCAATGTGAAAGGCTCTATACAAATATAATTTGGTGTTGTCTGGAAGCATAGAAGAGTAAATAATAGAAATGAGATGTAACTTATCTTTAACCCTCACCCCTACTCTTAATCACCTTTGAAACATTTAACATTTCGCAGCAGATTTTTTCTCGTAAGACTGTATTTTGTGGTGAAATTCTATATTTTATGACTGAAATATGCCATTCTACAATACTGAAAACCAATTGAACAAATTGCAATACTACATTAGTCTTTAGGATGAAAGAAAACCTAAACCTGTTTCAAATGGTACATGTAAAAATCTTCACCAGCTCCTGCGACACAGTAATTTCACAGACTTAATTATTTTTTCAGCAGACACCTAGTAAAAGATTGGTGTCATTGGAAATAGCTATTTTTCCTCCCTCGTGGAGTTAATCAATTTAGACACAGTGAAGGTATTTACCTTCTGTGCTATTCCACTATCAGTTTAATTAAGAATTGAATCTGTTTCACATAATCCTTGTGCAATATACAGCTGACATGGATTTACTCTCCCTGTAACCAAGCTGATGGTTGAAGTTGATGTGGCTGTTGTTATATTTTTAACTTATATATAGCATTTGATAAGTTCCCTCAAAGAGACTTAAATTGGAGTATTAATTTGTGTGGTCAAGGACAAAACCATAAATTGTATAATGACTACATAATGGGTAGGAACATAGGAATAGGAGGAGGCCATTCAGCCCTTCGAGCCTGTTCTGCCATTTAATTAAATCATGGCTGATCTGTACCTCAACCAATCCTTTCAATTCCAATTTCCCGCTTTCTCCCCATATCCCTTAATACCCTGACCTACCAAAATTTTATGAATCTCACTCTTGAAGGTGTGGATGGATCCAGCATCATATGGTAAAAGCTACAATTGTAGAACTGCCTCTTCTAGAATTTTCCCATCCCTCCTATACTCCTTCGACCCTATCTCTCCCTCCTCCCTCACCGCCATCGTTCACAAACTCAAACCCACCACCTGCTCCCTCGATCCCATCCCCACCTCTCTCCTCATCTCCCAGCTCCACCTTCTGGTCACTTTCCTGTCCAACGTCATCAACCTCCCCTTGTCCACCGGTTCAGTTCCCAACCCCTTAAAAACAGCCGTCATCACCCCCATCCTGAAAAAAACCATCCCTACTCTCCAGCTACCACCCCAACCTCCCATTCCTCTCCAAGGTCCTGGAACGAGTCGTCGTGTCCCAGCTCCGTTCCTTTCTCTCGCCATTCCCTCTTTGAACCCCTCCAATCCGGCTTCTGTGCTGCCACAGCACAGAAACAGCCCTGGTCAAAGCCACTAATGACATTCTGAACATCTGTGATCAGGGCTCCCTCTGCTTTCTTGTCCTCCTCAATCTCTTTGCCGCCTTCTACACTGTTGACCACTCCATCCTCATACACCACTTTTCCTCCTTACTTAATCTTCCCTGCACTGTCATGTCTGGCGTCCCCCAGGGCTCCGTCCTTGGCCCTCTCCTCTTTAATATCTACATGCTCCCCTTTGATGACATCATCCGCAGACATGGGGTCAACTTCCATACGTATGCAGAAGACACCCAACTCTCTATCTTTCTGCCTCCACCCTGAACTCCAGGACCAGACAGACTGCTTGTCATCAAGTCCTGGATGAGGGCAAATTTCCTACA